GGACGTGTCTTTTATCCCCCACATTAAAAACATTACTAGAACTGCCTTCTTCCACCTGCGTAATATCAATAAAATTAGAAACATCTTATCTAAAAATGATGCAGAAAAACTGGTCCATGCATTTGTCACGTCTAGACTGGACTATTGCAATGGTTTATTATCTGGGTGTCCAAATACTTCTTTAAAACGTCTTCAGTTGATCCGAAATGCTGCTGCCAGAGTCTTAATTGGAGTTAGTGGGAGAGATCATATCTGTCCAGTTTTAGCTTCTCTCCATTGGCTCCCTGTCAAATCCAGAATAGAATTCAAAATCTTACTTCTAATCTACAAAGCTCTCAACAGCCTAGCTCCATCTTATATTACAGATCTTATTGTTCCATATTTTCCTAACAGAGCACTTCGCCCTCAGACTGCAGGTTTACTTGTGGTTCCTAGAATTTACAAAAACAGAATGGGAGGCAGATCTATCATTTATCAGGCTCCTCTCTTGTGGAACCAACTTCCGATCTCTGTCCGTGAGGCTGACACATTATCCAGTTTTAAAACTAGGTTTAAGACTTTCCTTTTTGATACATCCTATAGTTAGGGTCAGCTTGGGTTTCCTGAGCTGTCCCTTAGTTATGCTGCTATAGGCTTAGACTGCTGGAGGACAAACTAACCACAATTTTCACTCTACTACTGTCTTTACTTACTCTGCTCAACCTGTTTTGTATTTGTAATTATTTTTTCTATCCTTAACATGTGCTTTTTTGTCTTTCAGGTACACCTGGACCTACCATTCTATGTTCGTCTGTCTCTCCTTCCTGTCCTCTCATCCAGCCGGTCAAAGCAGATGGCCGCTTGTCCTGAGCCTGGTTCTGCTGGAGGTTTCTTCCTGTTAAAATGGAGTTTTTCCTTTCCACTGTTGCCACTGTGCTTGCTTAGGATGGGAGACTGCAATGAAGCCAAGTTTAAACTTGTCTGCTGGATTCCTTTGATAGAGAACTTTACTAATTGGCTTTTATGTATGTGAATGTTCCTGTAAAGTGCTCTGAGACAACTTTGTTGTGATTTGGCGCTATATAAATAAACTGAATTGAATTAATTAATGCAGAGAACTATGTTCAGGTTCTAGAACAACATATGCTCCCATCTAGACGTCATCTCTTTCAGAGAAGACCCTGCATTTTTCAACACGATAATGCCAGACCACATTCTGCAGCAATCACAACATCATGGCTACGTAGGAGAAGGATCCGGGTACTGAAATGTCCAGCCTGCAGTCCAGATCTTTCACCTATAGAGAACATTTGGCGCATCATAAAGAGGAAGGTGCGACAAAGAAGGCCCAAGACGATTGAACAGTTAGAGGCCTGTATTAGACATGAATGGGAGAGCATTCCTATTTCTAAACTTGAGAAACTGGTCTCCTCTGTCCCCAGACGTCTGTTGAGTGTTGTAAGAAGAAGGGGGGATGCCACACAGTGGTAAAAATGGACTTGTCCCAACTTTTTGGGGGATTTGTTGATGCCATGAATATTGGAAACAACAGATTTTTCCCTTAAAATGATATATTCTCTCAGTTTAAACTTTTGATCTGTGTTTTGTGTTCTATTCTGAATAAAATATTAGATGTTGGCACCTCCACATTATTGCATTCAGTTTTTATTCACAATTTGTTTAGTGTCCCAACTTTTTTGGAATCCGGTTTGTACCTGTAGAGTTTTAAAAAATGAGTCTTTCAAATTTTATATTTTTATTTCAAGCTCAGACAGCTGTGAAAGACTGATTAGTTCTTTGTGAAATGTTAATACATATAAAGTGTTTTAAAGCAGAAAAGGTGGTCACTTATCTAAAGAACACAAAGTTAAAGGGACTTCCATGTTTTAATAAACAGAATGTAAATAAACCTGTTTATTATTAAAAGGCAGATTGTTCCAAACTTTAGGAACCACGATGGAAAAAGCCAAGTCTGAGTTTCAGTCTAGTTTTCAGGACCAAAAGAATCAGATGATCTCAGGATCCTCAAAGGAACATAAGGTTGAAGAGCTACGATGGGACAAGACCATTTTGATGTTTATAAGTCAACATGAGAATTTCAAAATCAATTAAATATATTTATGGTAAACTAGGGTTCAATCTTTGTGAAGCTGTGTGATTGTGTGATGATAGATAAACCTTTAATACAGCTGAAAAGTTCTCTGAGAAAATGTGTAGATTACAGGATCATGCTCATAAATGTTCTATTTTTTTTGTTGTTGTCTTATTAAGTTTATTCTTGTGTCTTTGTGTATCCAGAACTTCCTCAGCTATCTGTTTTCAAGGAGGAAGAGGTTCTGATGGACCAGCAGGTCTGTAAGGAGGAACCAGAACCTCCACAAAGAGGAAGGTCCCTTTGCAGTCAAGATGATGAGTAGCTGGTTCTGAAAGATGAAACTGATGTTTTAATGGAAACTGATAATTGTGAGGAAAGTAGCAGCATCAAGCCAGAACCAACCTCTTAACCTGTAAATGAAGAAAGCAGTTTGGTCATGGATGCAACCAAACCTTTTCTTTGCAATAATTGTGGGAAAATATTGTTTACCTAATCTAGGATGAGTTTTCACCAAATAACTCACCAAGAGACAGAGCCTTATTCTTGTGAAACATGTTTGAAAAGTTTCAGTCAATGTGACCGTTTGTGGGACCACATGAAAACTCCCAAAGGGGACATTCTTGTGAAACATTTGAAAAGCTTCCATCGACATGACATCTTGAGATTCCACAAGATAACTCACACGGGGGAGAGCGTACTCCTGTCAGATTTGTGGGAACTGATTTGGACTTGAATATCTTTTGGTACGCCACAAACGAACTCACACAGGTGTGAAACTATTTTCTTGTAACATTTGTCATAAAAGTTTCAGCCAAAGTAATAGTTCGACTTATCATATGAGAGTCCACACAGGTGAGAAGCCATGTTCTTGCAAAGAATGTAGAAAAAGTTTCAGTCAAACAGGGAAGTTAAATGTCCACATGAGGACTCACAGGTGAGAAACCATATTCCTGCAACAGGTGTGGTAAAAGTTTAGGATCGAAGACCAGCCTGCTGTATCACATGGGAACTCACACAGGTGAAAAACCTTATTCCTGTAAAATGTGTGGAAAACAATTCATTCAAAGTACTCATTTGATTGGTCACATGAGAAAACACAAATGACAAGCCTCAATGTTGTGAAGAATGTGGAAAAGGTTTTGGTACCATCTGTGCTTTGACCATCCATAAGAGGACTCGTACTGGAGAGAAGCCATATTCTTGTAAAAAATGTGGGAAAAGTCTGAAATCCAGCTCTGGCCTGCTGTATCATGAGAAACTGCTCATGTGAAAAATCTTATTGTTGTACAATCTGTGGGAAAAGATTCAGTCAAAGCCACAAAAAAAACCCACAAGCGAAGTCTTAAAAACTGAAGTGTTTCATGTCAGAGTGTGAGTTTATGTTTCATTTCGAGTGGATTTACAAAATAAACTAGACACAAATATATTCCAGAAATATTCAACTTGAGTCAATTTGGAAACTGAGTAGCTCAAATCATTGATATATCCCGATATTTAAAGCCCTGCTACTGAAAGAAAATGGACTTTCATTTTCCTATGACTAGCATTTCTCTTTTATTAGCTGTCCTCTTATTGTGTTGTGAAGTTTATTTTCACACGGAGTTTGACACCAAGAGGGTTTTCAAGCTGGATTCACTGAACATTGTTCTCACAAGTTGTGTTTTATGGCTGTTGAGTCGTTCTCCATCATGAATAGTCTCTTATATCTATGATACTGTGGGTGAGGGACATCAAGCTCCATGTTGTCTTCATACGAGTATACGCTAAATTGCTTTTTGTCTGGCCTGTAAAAAAGGACCATTCTGCCTTGGAAGACCCAACCGGGGCATAGCTCTTAGGTTCATTCAGGATCACAAATTTCTCCACCACATTAAGGTGACAATTTATGTATGGACTGAACCAACAAAATATAAACTCTTTTTGAAGTGAGAAAACGTGTTGAACAAGACGTGGAATGCCTACATGAATAAAAATTAAAGTCCGTCTGTCTTTGTTTCAGCTTCACATGATTATTATTGCCCATTACTTGCAGAATGCTGCTGATGAAAAATCATATTGCAGATGTTTTGCAGATGTTGTTGAAACGCTGGCATCTTTATCTCTGCCTCCTCCTCTTCTGCCACTCCTGGAGCTATCAAATCACTAGTTCTTCATGGGATTGGTATTTTACTTAACATATCAGTTGGTTTAGTATTTTTTATTTGGTTTATATATATTTTAGCACCTTTTACTATTATTTGCTCTGTTTTGTGGGTCTGTTAAACAGCAGTTTGGTGAACTCAGTTGTAAACGTGTAATAAAAAGTGATTTGATTTCTTTAATATTTTTAGGTTTAAAAACCTCTACACTCATTGTTTGTCTCTCTTCTTTACCAAATGTCCGTGTTACTGTGAATGCATTCTGAGAGAAGACTGTAGGCTGTATGCAGATGGTGCTGAGGCTGCTGAACAGGTCAGTCCACCTGACCCACCTGAACTCACACAGGTGAAAGACCTTATTCCTGTAAAATGTGTGGGAAACAATTCATTCAAAGTACTCATTTGATTATGAGAAAACACACAAGAATGCGGAAAAAGTTTTGGTATCATTTGTGCTTTGATCAGCACATCTAAAGTTTACTCAACTCACCAACCAAGGACACCGACGTTTACATGCTCATGTAGTAAGACAAGCGTGGTTCAATTGAGAAAACAACAAACTCGGCAGAAGCAGTAGAGATTTAATATTAGTTGATGCTTCATTCTTTCACACGTATAACATCGCTGAGAAATAATGTTTAAATAAAACAGACCCTTGTTTGGCTAGCTAGCCTTTAGCCTAGCCTGGAGGACAGCTGCGGCCCTTATATCCATCGTCCACATTCTGACTGATGTCACAGTTGATAATTATTGACTATAGACAGAGCAGCCCTTCCAAAATGATCAGACTACCCCTTTAGGTGTGTGAACAGACCCTTGCAGTCAGGTGGTGTGATGCAGGTCTGGACTCTGTTTGGAGGAGGGCCTCCTCTGTGTCTCTCAGTCAGGCTCTTGCTTCTTCCCAGAGACGTCATCCTGGTCTGCAGAGACCTCCAGTCCCTCTGCCCTGCTGCCATGGGAGCACTAAAGGAGTTGCTGCAAGAAATAACTCTGGTACGCGCAGCCTGGTATTTCTGGGGGGTCCAGTTAAGTCTCAAAGTGATGTTTGTCTGCTGGAGGTTAACGAGCTCCAGGTACATTTTGGCTCTTAGAGCTGGCAGAAACAGTCTGGAGTCCAGTTGAAGCTGAGGACTCTGATGGGTTATTACTCCTACAGGTGCTGATTGGGAACGAGAGAACTTAAAGTGTGCACGGTGGGGGGGTTGGTCTCGCCTGCTGGTCTCCAGTGGAAAGGTTTTGGTTTGCAGTGATAACATGTGTCCTCTAGTGTTGGTAAAGGGGAACTGAAGGTCGGTCTTTAGTTGAGATTGCTGTGAAGAGGAGAAGAGTTTGTAACTGTCACGAAGAAGATCCATCTTTGGATAAAAGTTCAGTGAGTAGCTCCACCGGTCTGATTGTGGGCTAACGCCTGCAGAGAACCCTGAAGGTCTAACTGAAAGGGTTCTGTTCTTCTGACAGGAAGCTCCTTCAGCGACCAGATCAGGGTGATCCTGTGTGCTTTTCTCCACAGATGATTGATGAACAGTTCTGGACTGTTCGTTTGTTGGGGAGATGTTCTGCTGAGAGTCTGGATCTCGAACGCTCGGGCTTGTCTCAGCTGTGGAGAAGATAGCAGGCCCAGCAGGCTGAGACTGAACATCTGAGACAAGAGACTGAGCAGGAAAATCTGACTTACACTGGACCTGGTGTTGGTTCTTCTCCACATTTGATCCTACGTCAAACTGAGTGCAGACCACTGTGTGCTCTGGATTTTCCACACTTCCCCTCTGCTGGTTATAATCTGCTTGTTGGTCCGAAGGATTCTGGTTTTGTTGTAGAGTTTTTTGGCGTGTGTGAGAACCTGCATCTTTACCCTCGACAGGTTGGGCACCACCTTTGCTGCGCTCCACGTCCAGACTCCGTGGATCATGTAACCCCTTCACCAAGGTTTCTGTTGGCGTGCTTTGAGCCTCTTCGTTCCAAGTCCAGAGGCATGTCGTTCTTGTCTGCTTTGACTTTCCATTTCTAACAGTGTTTCCATTCTGAGCTTCTTGTGACGAGGACCGAGGACAAAGAGACGGTGGCTCTGGGATCAGGGTGGCAAAGCCGGGGACTGGTTCGGAGCTGGAGTGAAGTCTGTTGAACTCCTGATGGAAATGTGAGGCTGAGCTGTCTCTGAGGAGAACAACAAGACCCTGATGGACCTGCCCGGACAGCCAGGTGAAACTGGGGGGGACAACAGAAACAATAAGGTACTGAGCTGAAGTCAAACACAAAGGAGGGTGACTTAAACAGCAGAAACCAGATGTTTACATATGCTGTATAAAAACACAGAACCATTTCTCTTAATATCAAGTCAGACCAAACCCTTCATGTGTTAGCTCAATAAGGACCATTTTTTTTCTTTGCTAAATAAAAAATAATGAAAGTGAGTTGTTGTTTTTTTTTAATTTTCTACACGCCTAGCCAATGAGACTGCTGCATACACAGGAGGCCCCGCCCTCCTAGGTTATAAATACGCAGCGTGGTCTCATTTCCCTAATCTTTTTGCACTTCACCTGCTTTCACCTGACTACAGCTTCCCAGTATGAAGCTTAACTGTCCGACTGGAGGTGAGCTCACTCCCTGCCCAGGGCGTCGCTACAAGCTCTGATCCTGCTCGCTTGTTTAGCCTGCTAACTTACAACATCTGCTTACTCCGTTTAGCTCAGCTAAAGATAAGCCTTGATAATGAGGGAGCACATAAAAACAGCACAGCTAACTTTCTGCCAGTTTAGCTTGTTAACTGGCAATTTATTGCTTCCATGAGGTTCTTGCAAAAGTTGTTTGGACTTTGGTCCCATTCCTCCTGACAGAACTGGTGGAACTAAGTCAGGTTTGTAGGACACCTCCCTCACACATGCCTTTTCAGCTCTGCCCACAGATTTTCTATGGGACTGAGATCAGAACTTTGTTGTTTTTAATCCACTTTGTGACTGATCTGGCAGCATGCTGAGGGTCAATGTCCATTTGAAGACCCACTCGTCTTAAGCGCAGAGGTGACAGAGCCTTCTCTGTAGCAGGACCACAAGACTTTGGAACGAGTTACCCTCTGCTTGTCAGACAGGCCCCCTCCCTCTCGGTTTTCAAGTCCCGTTTAAAAACTCACTACTATTCAGTAGCTTTCAACACCAGATGATCTGTGTTTTGATCCTGTACGCTCCACACTGGTTTGTCGTCATTATCTGCATTGTTATTTTTTTTTTTGTCTATATTTTGATTTACCTCATTTTGTATTTTGCTTTGTGTGTTACCTGTTGTTTTGTCTGTACAGCACTTTGGTTGGCCTTGTAGCTGTTTTGAGTGCTTTATAAATAAAGTGGTATGGTATGTGTGTCCAAGCTTTAACTTCCTGGCTCATGTCTTGAGATGCTGCATCAATATTTCCACATATTGTTTTTTCCTCATGATGTCATCTATTTTGTTTAGTGCACCAGAGCCTCCAGCAGCAAAACACTCCCACAGCATGCTGCTGCCACCTAGGGCTGGACAATAATTCAATATCGATATCGCAATATGCTTTTATTCAGTAACGGTGATATGAGTTTTAATCACATTTTTGATATTTCAATATGATTACAGCATTTCACTGACGCATTTCTTTTTCTGTTCGGATTGAGGCGGCTGCTTCCGTTTCAACCAGGACAGAAAAAGCTGCGACACAACTACGTAAGCACGTGGCGACGTGGATGTTACACAGAGCTCGAGTCCAGAAGGTGCTTTAGCAGGCTAGGCTAATCTCAAATACGCGTCAAGTTTTCACTTCAAAATGAGTTCCCATGACCATCAGAATGTGACTGAACAAACTTTCCAAAGCGAAGAGAAAGAGGATGACATAAATGATAAGAGGAAAGACTAATTTGGCGGTATGGAAGTGGTTCGGCTTTCTAAGATCTGATAAACTGCAGGTTTCAGTCAGTGTGCTGCAAAATGTGATGGAGAGTCGTTCCAACTAGCAGAGGGAACATCTAACTTGTTCCACTCGATAGAATATACTGAGACTTCAATGATGTTGATTTGTGTTCTCTTTATCCCTCTCTCTCCTCTATTCCTATCTCCTTCTTTACCTTTTAACTCTTCTCTCACTTTTCTGCTTTGTCATCTTCTTTGTTTTCCGTCCCCGTGTCCATTACATCTGGAACAAACCCAAAGCAAATTCTAATAAAGTTTAATTTATATATCAAGCAGAGCATTAAGGTCAGCCATAATGCTCTGCTTGTGAAAGTAAATCTGTTGGGCATCACTTTGACACTCAGACAATAATTCTAAGTGTCACAATGCCGGACAGGACAAGGGGAACAAAAAATAAAATTTAAAACTATTAATATTGACAAAGTTGAGAATTTTATGTTAATTTGAAGGTGATTTCAAAATTTTTTTGAAGGCTACATACAAATAAACTGTGAACATTAATTTATTTGTACAGTTTGTACAGTTTTTCTGAGGCTTTTATATTGTTTATTTTGATACAGAATTATATCGTTATTGACCTAAATTACAAAATATATTGTGATAAAAGTTTTGGCCACGTCGTCCAGCCCTACTGCCACCCCATATCCACCAGTGGGATGGTGCTTGCTGCTTCCCCCTTTTTCCTCCAAACGTAACAATGGTCATTACAGCCACACAGTTCAGTTTTAGTTTCATCAGACCACATGATGCGTGTGCATTTACAAACTGTAACTGGTCTTTCTTATGGTGCTTTGAGATTAATGTATTTGTCTTCTCTGAGTATCCTTTCAGCCCATGGTGCTCCAGGACTGGTTTCACTATCTGACCAGTCAATCCACACATTTCACAACAAAACAAGTTCATCTCAGGAACACAGAACCTGTTTCCTTCCAGAGCAGTATGATGGCAGGACATTCCCTTGATGTTTATACTTGTGTATGCTAGAACAGAAGAACGTTGAACCTTCAGCATCAGAAAATTGGACCCAATGATAATAATAATAATAATAATAATAATAATAATAACAATGATAATAATAATGATAATAATGTGTATGTGTTGTCATCATTGTACGTGAACATACAATGGGTGAAATTGGCTCTCTGCATTTAACCCATCCACCACCAGGTGGAGCAGTGAGCAGCTATTGAAAGCGCTGGGGAGCAAGTGGGGATAGGGTGTGCTGCTCAGAGACACCACCAGATGTGTAATGACTGGGGATTGACTCTGGGACATTCAGGTCTCGAGTCAGCTGCTCTGCCTCTACCCCATCTCAGCCCCCTATGCCTCACAAAGAAAAAGTGTATTCCTCCAATTACCTCAGATGTTGTCAGCTAACCAATCAGAAGCTTCCAAAGCCATGACATCATCATGTGGGCTTTCCCAAATTGGTTAAAGACATCATAATCATAGTGTATGTAAACTTGTGACTTGAAGAAAGTAAAAAAAATAAATAAATAAATAAACTATTAAAAATCTGTACTTTGTTATTCTGGAATTTAAAAAATAAAATCAATTTGTGATTCCTAACTAACCTAAAACAGGAAAGGTTTAACGTCAGACAGTGTGGAATACAAGGTTTTACTCTAAGTGTCTATTCAAGCTTTGGTGTGTGCGCACGTGTATGTGTGCACCTGTATGATCCAGCCAACACCTCAGTCCAGTCAGCGATGATGAAACTCTCAGCTATCTGACCGGTCAGCTTCCGGCCCGTCTTGGCACAGTAGGTCCGTCCTTGGACACTTCGTACCGACAGCTCCTGTGCACATAAACACAACGATTATCTCAAACAAGTTATGTGTTTTTTGTTTTTTTTTGGTCAACTTTCTGCAAAGTCAAAGTACAATACAAATGAGAGGGCATCTGGACAGTGTCCCAAAAATGTTCTGCATGACCGAACATATCTAAAAGGGTAAACTCCACTTGAGAAAACTGCTAATATTAAATATTAAATATGGAGGTTTTTCACCTTTTTTCAGGGTGTCGATGCAGCTACTGCTGAATACCTAGCCTAGCCACTCCTGTCCTGCAGAACCCGGTAAGTAAAATTTTGTAGCTACATATAAAGTACTGTATGTTGTTAAAATGATGTAAGTTTAAGAGTTTAGAACATTGCAAGAGTGTGGGAAGGGTTTAAAACACCTTAATATATATCCAACATTTTTCAGTCAGGTCATCTGGACA